GGGACGGCATGGGAGAGGGATGGGGGTGAGTGCGGGGACGGCATGGGAGAGGGATGGGGGTGAGTGCGGGGACCGCATGGGAGAGGGCATGGGGGTGAGTGCAGGGACGGCATGGGAGAGGGCATGGGGATGAGTGCGGGGACCAAATGGGAGAGGGCATGGGGGTGAGTGCGGGGACGGCATGGGAGAGGGATGGGGGTGAGTGCGGGGACGGCATGGGAGAGGGATGGGGGTGAGTGAGGGGACGGCATGGGAGAGGGCATGGGGGTGAGTGCGGGGACCGCATGGGAGAGGGCATGGGGGTGAGTGCGGGGACGGCATGGGAGAGGGATGGGGGTGAGTGTGGGGACGGCATGGGAGAGGGATGGGGGTGAGTGCGGGGACGGCATGGGAGAGGGATGGGGGTGAGTGAGGGGACGGCATGGGAGAGGGCATGGGGGTGAGTGCGGGGACCGCATGGGAGAGGGCATGGGGGTGAGTGTGGGGACGGCATGGGAGAGGGATGGGGGTGAGTGCGGGGACGGCATGGGAGAGGGATGGGGGTGAGTGCGGGGACCGCATGGGAGAGGGAATGGGGGTGAGTGCGGGGACGGCATGGGAGAGGGCATGGGGGTGAGTGCGGGGACCAAATGGGAGAGGGCATGGGGGTGAGTGCGGGGACGGCATGGGAGAGGGATGGGGGTGAGTGCGGGGACGGCATGGGAGAGGGATGGGGGTGAGTGTGGGGACGGCATGGGAGAGGGATGGGGGTGAGTGCGGGGACTGCATGGGAGAGGGCGTGGGGGTGAGTGAGGGGACGGCATGGGAGAGGGATGGGGGTGAGTGCAGGGACGGCATGGGAGAGGGATGGGGGTGAGTGTGGGGACGGCATGGGAGAGGGCATGGGGGTGAGTGCGGGGACGGCATGGGAGAGGCATGGGAGAGGGATGGGGGTGAGTGCGGGGACGGCATGGGAGAGGGATGGGGGTGAGTGCGGGGACCGCATGGGAGAGGGAATGGGGGTGAGTGCGGGACGGCATGGGAGAGGGCATGGGGTGAGTGCGGGGACAAATGGAGAGGGCCTGGGGTGAGTGCGGGGACGGGCATGGGAGCGGGATGGGGGTGAGTGCGGGGACGGCATGGGAGAGGGATGGGGGTGAGTGTGGGGACGGCATGGGAGAGGGATGGGGTGAGTGCGGGGACTGAATGGAGAGGGCGTGGGGGTGAGTGAGGGGACGGCATGGGAGAGGGATGGGGGTGAGTGCAGGGACGGCATGGGAGAGGGATGGGGGTGAGTGTGGGGACGGCATGGGAGGGCATGGGGGTGAGTGCGGGACCGCATGGGAGAGGCATGGGAGAGGGATGGGGGTGAGTGCGGGGACGGCAATGGGAGAGGCATGGGAGAGGCATGGGGGTGAGTGCGGGGAGGCATGGAGAAGCATGGGGGTGAGTGCGGGGACGGCATGGGAGAGGGCATGGGGGTGAGTGCGGGGACGGCATGGGAGAGGGATGGGGTTGAGTGCGGGGACGGCATGGGAGAAGGCAAGGGGGTGAGTGCGGGGACGGCATGGGAGAGGGCTGGGGTGCAGAGCAGAGCCACTCGCGTGGGAGCAGCCGGCCGCTGGGATGAGGCCAGGTCCTGGCACAGGGTGCTTGGTTAGTGATGGCAGAACTCCCACCACCTACCCCAGTGACCACAGAGACTCGGAGGCTTCCATATTTACAGACAAAATACAAAGCATCAGAAAGGGAAGCATGGAGGATGCTGCAGCCTCACTTCTGACTAAGAGACTGCAGACAAAGGAGAACCAGGGAAACGGGTGAGGACGCTGGGCCCAGCTAAGAGACTGCAGACACAGGAGAACCAGGGAAATGGACGAGGACGCTGGGCCCAGCTAAGAGACTGCAGACACAGGAGAACCAGGAAAACGGATGAGGACGCTGGGCCCAGCTAAGAGACTGCAGACACAGGAGAACCAGGGAAATGGATGAGGATGCTGAGCCCAGCTAAGAGACTGCAGACACAGGAGAACCAGGGAAATGGACGAGGATGCTGGGCCCAGCTAAGAGACTGCAGACACAGGAGAACCAGGGAAATGGACGAGGACGCTGGGCCCAGCTAAGAGACTGCAGACACAGGAGAACCAGGGAAATGGATGAGGATGCTGGGCCCAGCTAAGAGACTGCAGACACAGGAGAACCAGGGAAATGGACGAGGATGCTGGGCCCAGCTAAGAGACTGCAGACACAGGAGAACCAGGGAATGGGTGAGGATGCTGGGCCCAGCTAAGAGACTGCAGACACAGGAGAACCAGGGAATGGGTGAGGACGCTGGGCCCAGCTAAGAGACTGCAGACACAGGAGAACCAGGGAAATGGACGAGGATGCTGGGCCCAGCTAAGAGACTGCAGACACAGGAGAACCAGGGAATGGGTGAGGATGCTGGGCCCAGCTAAGAGACTGCAGACACAGGAGAACCAGGGAATGGGTGAGGACGCTGGGCCCAGCTAAGAGACTGCAGACACAGGAGAACCAGGGAAACGGGTGAGGACGCTGGGCCCAGCTAAGAGACTGCAGACACAGGAGAACCAGGGAAATGGACGAGGACGCTGGGCCCAGCTAAGAGACTGCAGACACAGGAGAACCAGGGAAATGGGTGAGGACGCTGGGCCCAGCTAAGAGACTGCAGACACAGGAGAACCAGGGAAATGGACGAGGACGCTGGGCCCAGCTAAGAGACTGCAGACACAGGAGAAGCAGGGAAATGGGTGAGGATGCTGGGCCCAGCTAAGAGACTGCAGACACAGGAGAACCAGGGAATGGGTGAGGACGCTGGGCCCAGCTAAGAGACTGCAGACACAGGAGAACCAGGGAAACGGGTGAGGACGCTGGGCCCAGCTAAGAGACTGCAGACACAGGAGAAGCAGGGAACGGGTGAGGACGCTGGGCCCAGCTAAGAGACTGCAGACACAGGAGAACCAGGGAAATGGACGAGGACGCTGGGCCCAGCTAAGAGACTGCAGACACAGGAGAACCAGGGAAATGGGTGAGGACGCTGGGCCCAGCTAAGAGACTGCAGACACAGGAGAACCAGGGAAATGGACGAGGACGCTGGGCCCAGCTAAGAGACTGCAGACACAGGAGAACCAGGGAAATGGACGAGGACGCTGGGCCCAGCTAAGAGACTGCAGACACAGGAGAAGCAGGGAACGGGTGAGGACGCTGGGCCCAGCTAAGAGACTGCAGACACAGGAGAAGCAGGGAACGGGTGAGGACGCTGGGCCCAGCTAAGAGACTGCAGACACAGGAGAAGCAGGGAAATGGACGAGGACGCTGGGCCCAGCTAAGAGACTGCAGACACAGGAGAACCAGGGAAATGGGTGAGGACGCTGGGCCCAGCTAAGAGACTGCAGACACAGGAGAAGCAGGGAAATGGACGAGGACGCTGGGCCCAGCTAAGAGACTGCAGACACAGGAGAAGCAGGGAAATGGACGAGGACGCTGGGCCCAGCTAAGAGACTGCAGACACAGGAGAAGCAGGGAAATGGACGAGGACGCTGGGCCCAGCTAAGAGACTGCAGACACAGGAGAAGCAGGGAAATGGACGAGGACGCTGGGCCCAGCTAAGAGACTGCAGACACAGGAGAACCAGGGAAATGGACGAGGACGCTGGGCCCAGCTAAGAGACTGCAGACACAGGAGAAGCAGGGAAATGGACGAGGACGCTGGGCCCAGCTAAGAGACTGCAGACACAGGAGAACAGGGAAATGGACGAGGACGCTGGGCCCAGCTAAGAGACTGCAGACACAGGAGAACCAGGGAAATGGTGAGGACGCTGGGCCCAGCTAAGAGACTGCAGACACAGGAGAAGCAGGGAAATGGACGAGGACGCTGGGCCCAGCTAAGAGACTGCAGACACAGGAGAACCAGGGAAATGGACGAGGACGCTGGGCCCAGCTAAGAGACTGCAGACACAGGAGAACCAGGGAAATGGGTGAGGACGCTGGGCCCAGCTAAGAGACTGCAGACACAGGAGAAGCAGGGAACGGGTGAGGACGCTGGGCCCAGCTAAGAGACTGCAGACACAGGAGAAGCAGGGAAATGGACGAGGACGCTGGGCCCAGCTAAGAGACTGCAGACACAGGAGAAGCAGGGAAATGGACGAGGACGCTGGGCCCAGCTAAGAGACTGCAGACACAGGAGAAGCAGGGAAATGGACGAGGACGCTGGGCCCAGCTAAGAGACTGCAGACACAGGAGAACCAGGGAAATGGACGAGGACGCTGGGCCCAGCTAAGAGACTGCAGACACAGGAGAAGCAGGGAACGGGTGAGGATGCTGGGCCCAGCTAAGAGACTGCAGACACAGGAGAACCAGGGAAACGGGTGAGGACGCTGGGCCCAGCTAAGAGACTGCAGACACAGGAGAAGCAGGGAACGGGTGAGGACGCTGGGCCCAGCTAAGAGACTGCAGACACAGAGGACCAGGGAAACAGGAGGAGATGCTTGGTCCAGCTGAACAGTCCAGGATGAAAGTCTTCCTAACCTTTCTCATTTAATTGCCTTTTTTTTTTTTTTTTGGAGACAGAGTCATGTTCTGTCACCCAGGCTGGAGTGCAGTGGCACAATCTCGGCTCAAGCAATCCTCCCACCTCAGCCTCCTGGGTAGCTTGACCACAGCCACCTAATGCCCAGCTAATTAAAAAGAATTTTTTTTGTAGAAATGGGATCTCACTATGTTGCCCAGGCTGGTCTCAAACTCGTGGGCTCAAGCAATCCTCCCACCTCAGCCTCCCAAAGTGCTGGAATTACAGGGGTGAGTAACCACACACAGCCCCGATTCAAATTTCTTATCAGCAAAATGGGAATAAAACAAGAAAAGCTTGTCTCGGCAGCTGGACAAGGCTGTACGGCTCAGGACGGGGCCCTCACTTCCCATCCACGTGGAGAAGCAGCTACAGCCCAGAGACACACCCTGACACCCACCTTGTCATGACAGGGACCCCGGGGACGCAGGCCCTACCTTGTACGGGGAGATGTGTGTGTCAGGGGGGAAGGCCAGCATGCCCATGGCCTGGCGCACCTCGTCCAGCTGGCTCCCTTCTGCTTGGCTGAAGTGCTTTCGCGCATGTCTGAAAAACAACATTTTGGCACATGTCAGTTTGCATTTTCACTTTAATTTTTAGAGACAGGATCTCACTCTGTCACCAGGCTGGAGTGCAGTGACACAGTCACAGCTCACTGTAGCCTCGAACTCCCAGACTCAGGCGATCCTCCCAAGAAGCCGGGACCACAGATGTGCAGCACCAAGCCCAGCTAATGTAAAAAAAATGTCCTGTTAGAGACAGAGTCTCACTGTGTTGCCCAGGCTGGTCTTCAACTCCTGGGCTCAAGCCATCCTCCTGCCCCAGCCTCCCAAAGTGCTGGGATTATAAGCATGAGCCATTGCACCTGGCCTGCATTTTTAAGTTGAAAAATCTGAGCTAACAGCCTGAGTCTATATACAAAGTAATCACCTCATTCCAAGGGGAGCTGCTGGGTGGGGCTGGAATGGTGGGAGATGTGGCTCACCAGAGGCTGGAAGAGCAGCCACAGACCCTTCTTCCTCCAGGGACAGGGCACCCAAGCCACACATGCAACCCACAGAAAACACCAGAACTGCAAATGGCACCTCTGAGCCCTCTCCAAAGCAATTCCGGTTTACAAGGAACCCAAACCCTGAGGACTCCCACTGCCCTGGATGCTCACCCCGCAGCCCCAGCGGACCAAGAGCCTGTGGTCTTCCCAACTGCCGCCCTTGCTGTTTGGAAGCTTTTCCAAAGGATAGCCACCTCCCTCAGCCCGTAGGCTGCACTCTGCAGACCCGGCCCAGTCCTGTCAGCCCTGAGTGTGCCACACACCACATGCCGCTGTGATCTTTCCTGAGCCAACGCTGTGGGACGCGTACACCCGCTCCAGGGCAGAACCCAGCCCAGCCTGGGGCTGCACAGCCAAGAGACCAAAGCAGAGCACAGCAGGTCCCTTTCGAGCTGCCCAGCACCCCCATTCTCATGCCTTCCACACAGGATCATTGTCCCTTGGGCTGTCCTCAGGGCCTGCACCCCCACGTCCTTGGCTCTCACATGGGCCCTTATACACTCCCATGTCCTCAGCCCTCACAGGGGCCCTTGTGCACCCCCACATCCTGACCCTCACACAGGCCCTTGTGCACCCCCACATCCTGACCCTCATACAGGCCCTTGTGCACCCCCACATCCTGATTCTCATACAGGCCCCTGTGTACCCCCACATCCTGGCCCTCACATGGGCTCTTAGGCACCCTACATCCTCAGCCCTCACGTGGGCCCTTATGCACCCCCACGTCCAGGCCCTCATACAGGCCTTTGTGCACTCCCATGTGCTGGCCTTCACATAGGCCTTTATGCACCCCCACATCCTGGCCCTCAGACAGGCCCTTATGTACCCCAGGTCCTCAGCCCTTGGCACCCCTCCCCCAAAGCAACCCAAATGCAGGGAACTAGGGGCCTCAAGTCCCCTGTGTGAGTCAGCCCTGTGCTGTCTGGAACAAAGCATGTACCCGGGAACACGGAACTAGCTGAGGAGGTGCCAGGCACTCACAGTAGCCGTGGAGAAAACGCGGTGCCTGGCAGAGACCAGAGACCACCTCAAGGTGGCCCAGCAGCCCCTTGAGGGCCAGCACAGTGACCACATGATGGAAGCACCACCGGGGAGCCTGGGCAGCAGGGAGTAGGGGGCACCCAGGTTTGGGACACAGCCTGGGGAGGCCACACAGCCAACCCCACAGAGTGTGTGCAGGGACTACAAGCCAGAGGTGAGTCCACATGGCTGACCCCACAGGGCGCATGTGCAGGGGCTGGGGATGGCTGGCCAAGATTCCAATGCCCGTGCATCCCCAGCCGGGAGTGTGTGGGTGGGTGTGGGTCTGAGTCCAGGAGAGCCCCACCCAACACCCTCATTCCATCTCTGGAGACGAGTCACCCTTCATCCCACACCAAAACGTGCCCAGAACACAGCCCCAGTGCTGTTTCATTCAACTGGCCATCTCGCCTCCTGCAGAGCTGCTGAAAAGGGATAATTTAGTCTCTTTGGCTAACATCTATGAGATCTCCTTTCCATGACGTGGATTATGCGTCTTATCTCACTATCAATAAAACCCCAGATGGAGATTCCCGCCTGCTAAGCAGCAGCCTCACCTCGAACACCAGGACCCTGATCCACAAACCCTGACGAAACAGAAAACCTAACAGTGGTGGCTGACACTTCTCGCGGGGTGTGATACCAGCATTCAGCCCCAAGGCAGACAGCACTACAGCCCAGAATGTGGGGCCCTCAGAGCAGACACAGTGGAGAACAGCCCAGTGCGCGTCCACAGGGAGCAGGTGAAACGAAAGCGAGACTTTTATCATGAAACTCAATGCAGCCAACATAAAAAACACAACAACATCCAATTTTCCTTTAAAAATATCAATACGTGGGCCAGGTGCAGTGGCTCACGCCTGTAATCCCAGCACTTTAGGAGGCCAAGGCGGGCAGATCACTTGAGGTCAGAAGTTTTGAGACCAGCCTGGCCAACATGGCGAAAACCTGTTTCTACCAAAAATACAAAATTAGCCAGGCGTGGTGACACATGCCTGTAATTCCAGCTACTCGGGAGGCTGAGGTAGGAGAAGCGCCTGAACCCGGCACGTGGAGGTTGCTGTGAGCTGAGACTGTGCCTGGCAACAGAGCAAAACTCCATCTCAAAAAAAAAATACACACACACACAGCAGACACCCAAAAGACAGCACTCGTAAACTGCCTGGCCAGGCTGAGGTGTGGGTGTGTGACAGACAGCACGTGTTGCTCACACAAAGCCACCAAACGCACGCCACATCCCAGCCACCTGGGGTCAGGGATTTGCTTACTCATTTTCTAAAAATTAAACACTCGCAGCTCATACGTTCGTACTTGGCAAACTCGCAAACGCCCCAGGCGGGGCAGAGCTGCAGCCACCCCAGCAATGAGGCCCCTGTCTGGCCCGGCACACTGGCGCCACAGACAGCAGCACCCGCTTCGCCTGCCCCAGCGGACAGCCGTCCCGGGTGAGGTGTGGGCCCAGAGGCTGGGCTGCTGGCCTCAAGCCCTGTAGACAGTGCCCCATGCTCTAGCACCTTGTGAGCTGTGAGTTCAGTGGTAGATGGGAAGCTCCCATGGGCTGGGACCCTGACAGGAGGCAAGAGGGTCTGGCCAGGAGCCCTCAGGAGACATGTGGCCAGGCTTCCCCTCTCCCTTGTCCAGCCTCAGTGACACACCCCACCCTCGGGCCTCCCAGTCAGACACTCGCACTCCCTCAACCAACAAAGGTCCTGCCGATGTCCTACCTGTCACCCCAGCACAGCTCCTGGGTGCCTTGTGGGTGGCTCCAGGGCCACGCAGAGCTGAGGCTGGACTTCCTGACCAGGCCCTGGCACTTGGAGACCCGCTCCCAAGATGGTCCCAGCAGAGGGTGCAGCTCAGCCACGCTTGCCCGAAAGGCACTGGGGTGGTATCTACCACGCCTGCCCGGCTGGTGCTGACGCTTTGGGCAGCACACACCTTCGTGAGGAGGAAGGATATGCACTTCCTGGGACCTGCCTGCTCCCATGCAACTAACTAGGCTGCAGAGCGTGCAGCTCTGAGCTCAGCTCCAGATCATGAGGCGGAGCCCCGAAAGTCTCTAGGGCAGACTCCACCCAAAGCCGGGGTAACATAGGCAAACTGCCCCCACGTGGGGCCAGCCACTACTCAGACGAAGACACCTGTTACAGGTGGGGCTGCAGAGAGGGACTCTGAGATGGACACGTTTTGTTCTCAGACTGCTGTGCTGACCGTGGCCGGGGCCCTCAAGGAGACGGAGGCCGGTTAGGGAGGAAAGCAGGCTGTGCCAGGCAGAGGCCAGTGACACAGGCACTGAGGCCGCATGGAGGAGGCCAGAGAAGAGCAGGAGCCCCTCCTCCTGACTGGCGCCCTTGCTGTATCCCTGGAAGTCACGCCCCAATCTCCATTGGGCTGCGTCCCAAGACCCCTGCTTTGCCTTCTCAGGCACAGAAGAGCTATGAGCTCCCTGCCGCAGGCCTGACCCGTGGCCGTGGGCCCCGGCCAGGCATCGGGAGCCAGAGCAGGTCCTGGGTTCTGCCGTGCATCTTGGGGAGCATCCTCAGCACCTCATCGTGAGACACCACTACTCGGAATGGGCTCTCTGTGGAACACTTGGCCATACAGCCCGATACAGGTGGATATGGAGTTACGGCCCAGTTTCTGCACTTGTAGATAGGCAGCACCTCCTGGCAAACACATATTTGCTGGGCACTCGCCTAGGAGCTTAGAGCCGACCAGGCCCACCCGCCCCCCACAGCCCACACAGCAACCCATGCATCACCACGAGGCTTGGCCGGGCAGGAACCTCCACAAAAGTGAGTGAGATGACCCCAAGACGGGGTGAGTAGGAATTGGCTGGCCCCGCCCAGCCCAGGCGCCCACCACTGCCCAATGATGCTCGCTCTGGGTCACATGTGGGAAGCCAGCATTTGGCCTCTTTTGCTTTGCAGGCACCGTGCACCCTAACTGGGCTGAGCCACAGTGACAGTCAGCAACCCCATTCTCAGGCCTGACCACCACGGCACCACTGGCCTCAGCTCACTGTATGCTGCCCTTGGGGTGGAGATGGGCCAGGGAACCCAGAAGTGCTCTCACCACATGCTGCCAATACCCACCCCCAATGACCATGAGGGACGTCCCGAAGCTCAGGACGCTTTGGGCTACCTGAGGCCCACACATCAGAGACACTCCCAAGCCACGTGGAAAGGGGGTGCTGGGAGCCCGGTCCAAGTGTTTTACGTGGATGGTCAGGATGCCAGAGCTGGTCACCCTGGCAGCCATGCGGTCTGATGCCCACCTTGGGCTACACCTTGGTGGGGGTCCTGCTGGGCTCCAGGCCTCGCTCCCCAGGTCCCCATTCAGGAACAGCAGGAGAAGCAGCCACCTGAGCAGGCAGGGGTCAGATTCAACACCTAGGGGACATTCCAAGACCCAGACTGCGAGAGGCAGGGCCGGCAGCGGCCACAGCCAGACATCCTGCCCTCCCTGGAGAAGCCGCAAGCCCGCGATGCCTACCTCACGGCGTCCAGTCTCTTATTCTGCCGGATGAGTTCAATGAACTCCTGGATTCTGAGGCTGAACTCCAGGCAGCTCTGAGGGCAAAGACAAGACGAGGGCTTAGACAGCACATCGCACAGAGCCCAGGCGCCCAGGGGCCGCACCCCATGTCCATCAGCAGACCCCACATCCAAAAGCTCTGAACCCCTCTCACAGGCACCAGAAAGGCAGGGCTGAGGTTGAAGCTGCCACTTCAACCCGAAGCACTTTCCCGGGACCGCTGGGTTCTGAATGTGAGTCCCGCCCCTGCTCCCACAGGCGTGGTAGGGCGTGCAGCCGCCCAGCATTTCAACCCGAAGGCTGGGACACTCGGATGCTCCCAGGAGCATGGGTGGGCCTGGGGGACGCTGGGAGGGCAGAACAGTAGGTGCAGCCGCTGGAACAAAGGGACCAACCCCTCTGCAGGGACAGAGCAGCTTCCTGGGTCCTGCCCTGAGGCCGCTGCTTCCTCCTTTACGGCCTGCCGGGGCTCTGGACCCATCTGTCCCAAGTGCAGACTGGGTGTTGGCCTGAGCCCAGGGCTGTCCCGGGGTCTGATGCCTGGGGTGGGAGGAGACAGTGACCAAAGGTGGGGGGTGCTGGGTGGTGCCTCACGGCGGGGGCTTGAGGCAGAGAAGCAAGCCTGGAGCAGGCAGGACCCGGGCCAGCTGGCGGGGAGCACTGCACCGAGGTTACGGACGAGGAACTGTATAGACACCGAGCAAGAACATACCAGGCAGAAGGGCCCAGGCAGGGGGCACATGGAGCAGAGGCCTGGCCCAGAGGACACTGAGGTTCTAGGTGGCTGTGGGGCCGAGGGGCAACTCCCAAGAAAGGAGGGTGCTCCCGGGATGTTCGGACAAGGGAGAAACGCTGGGTCGGGGATGCTGTTGGGACAGTGCCATGTCCCTGTGAGGCAGGGGCTGGGGTAGCTCCTGCAGGACCAAGTCCCACGTGTGTCTGCCTACAAGCCTCTCGCCTGCAGCTAAGGAAACCCCACGGAAGCCCAACTCTTACTCTGAAATCTCAGCAACCTCAGTCCAATGTGGGCTGAGACTTGTGGCTGGGGAGGGGGCAGCAACACTGACCAAAGTCATCCAGGAGGAGACACTGATTCCACAGCAGTGACGTGGCTGCCTAAACCGTAAGATCTTCCGTGTGGCTTCAAGACATTTTCCGGGCTTTGCCCCAGAAACAGGATATGGGCATGAACACCACGGAATGAGTCTTGGGCTCGGGCTGCCATTTGTCCCTCTGAGTTCCAGTGTCCGGATCTCACGATGGCATGCACAGAAGGGCTACGTGGCAAGCAAATGAATCCACTCCATGACTTCATTTAAATGGAAGCTCATCACTCCACCGCCCAGAACTTTTCCCAGGCCCCTTTCTGAGGTGCTGCCTCGGCTCCAGCCCTTGCGGCCCCAGACAGGTCAGCAGGCTGGATGCAGAACTCACAGGCTTGCTCCAAGCTGGGGCAGGGGGACCATCTCTGACCCCAACAGTGGCACAGGCTCTGGATGGTGAGTGCCAGGCTTGGTACAAACCAGCTGAGAGTCACAAGGTCACCCCAGGGTCCTGAGTCACCACCCCACTAATGAGTAGACAGACTTTGGTCCGCACTCTGCTCCCTTCAGAGCCAGCTTGGCAGGAGAGAAAGGCAGGACCAGCAAGAAGAGACAGAGGCTCCCCCCAGGGCCCCACCTGCCTTCCAGGGGCCGCCCCACAGCTGCTGTGTCTAGGCCCGGTGAGTGCCGGGGCTCTGTGTAAAGGCAGGAAGCAGCTGCCAAGGGGGTGCTCTAAAAAGCAGGACTCTGAGCTCACTCTAGGTTACCATTTCACACAACGGACACCTCAAACCTGCATTTATTAGTTTTTTGGAGACAAGAGTCTCACTCCGTTGCCAGGCGCCAGGCTGGAGTCCAGTGGTACAATCTTGGCTCACTGCAACCTCCACCTCCCAGGTTCAAGCAATTCTGCCTCAGCCTCCCTAGTAGCTGGGACTACAGAACACGCCACCACGTCCAGCTAATTTTTGTTTAGTAGAGATGGGGTTTCACCATTTTGGCCAGGATAGTCTCAATCTCTTGACCTCATGATCTGCCCACCTCTGCCTCCCAAAGTGCTGGGATTACAGGCGTGAGCCACAGCGCCTGGCTCAAACCTGCATTTTAGCGACACCTTCTGCTCCAGTACGTTCTTTTATTATTTACTTATTGTTTGTTTGATTGGTTGGTTGTTTTTGAGACAGTTTCACTCTTGTTGCCCAGTCTGGAGTGCAATAGCACGATCTTGGCTCACTGCAACCTCTGCTTCCTGGGTTCAAGTGATTCTCCTGTCTCAGCGTCCTGAGTAGCTGGGATTACCAGCATGCACCACCACACCCAGCTTATTTTGTATTTTTAGTAGAGACGGGGTTTCTCCATGTTGCTCAGGCTGGTCTCGAACTCCCGACCTTGGGTGATCTGCCCGCCTCAGCCTCCCAAAGTGCTGAGATTACAGGCGTGAGCCACCATGCCCAGCCTAGTGGGTTCCTTTTAATTAGTCCACTAATATGCAAGCATGCATATGCTGTGAAACTTAGGTACCTAGACCCAAATCTAAAATACCTGGAGTCTACATAGTCCCATACGGTGTGGAGTGCTGACAAGGTATGTCCACTCTGTGCCAGGCACCCACATGGGTGGCTCTGTGTGACTTTCCCTCAGATGTGCAGCACAAAAACCACTAGGTCAGCTGGCCTCAGGGCCACTCACCCGCCCATTTCCCTGCCAGGTAAAACTTGGTCTCAAGTTTCTTTTCCCATCTAGGTTCTCATGATGCGAGCACACAGAGGCAGACTGCACAGGCAGCCAGGCACCCCGCTTTGTTCAGATGGCCACGCAGACTGCACAGGCAGCCAGGCACCCCGCTTTGCTCAGATGGCCACGCAGACTGCACAGGCAGCCGTGCACCCTGCTTTGCTCAGATGGCCACACAGACTGCACAGGCAGCCGTGCACCCCGCTTTGCTCGGCTGTCATCTGGCACCAGGCATGTGTCCTTGCCATCTGGAGTCTTCAGGGAGCATTTCTGGACAGCACCCAAACATGGATTCAGGCCCCATCCAATCTCAACTTCATCCAACACCAGGCACACCCATCCACCAGGCACGCATGTGTTCAGTTCCCCGAGTCCTGGCCCTGCCTGCTCCCACGGCAGCTTCAGATGGGTCGTGAGCCCACGGCAAGCCCCCGACGCCCTCCAGCCACACTGTCTGGTCTGTAATTAGGGCTCAAGGCTTGCAGAAATATCCTGGCAGCACCGAGAACCTATCCTCCCTCTGACGTCCACACAGAATGGCCGGCAGAGCTCCCAACGTGAGGTGTGTGCTGGTTCTTTGGGAAGGACTGTGGGCTGGCACTGTGTGGGGGTGCCACGGGTTACATACCAATCTGGCTTTCCTTTTAGACCCTCACCCTCTTTAGGGGAGCCACTGGCTGCTCAACTTGATCGTCCCGTCTTCTCTGGGTGCTTGTTTTGGCGGCCCTGAGTGGCAGAGCATGCAGCCCACCAAGCTCAGCCAGGGTGGAGTTAAAGCAGCACTCAGTTTAGAAAACAAAACAGTTTTGCTAATGGAGGCAGGACTGTTAATCTAAGTTAAAACATGTCTGCAAGCCCGTGGGTGATACTGCCTTTTCATAAGCAGGGTTAAATTCCGTCGTTTAAGTCTATCATCAAGCCTCTTGTGGGCTCTAGAAAAGCAAGTATTTGGCCGGGCACAGTGGCTCAAGCCTGTAATCCCAGCACTTTGGGAGGCTAAGATGGGCAGATCATGAGGTCAGCAGATTAGGAACACCCCGGGCAAGATGGTGAAACCCCGTGTCTACTGAAAACACAAAATGTAGCTGGGCGTGGGGGCGGGCGCCTGTAATCCCAGCTACTCTGAAGCAGAACTGCCTGAACCCAGGAGTTGGAGGCTGTAGTGAGCCAAGATCGCGCCACCGCACTCCAGCCTAGCAACAGAGTGAGACTCCATCTCAAAAAAAAAAGACGAGACAAGAAAAGTGGGTGTTCATTAAGAATATCACAGTCCAGAGCTCTGCAGCCTCGCAGAGGGAGAATGACTTCCCAACCAGCTTTTCTGTGTCTGAGTGCAGGGAGTCCCCAAGGCAGCCCCCGGGGAGTAGGACTGAGGCATCTCCCGGCTCCAAGCCCAGCAGCCCCAGACATGCTGCATGTACGTGGTTGGCCTCCCGTAACCCACCCTCTGAGCCCATGCCACGAGTATGCATGCTGTAATGCCCAATGAGGTGCGCTTTTCCGGATTTCAGCCTCACAGTGTAACACAGCCCCCACCTTACCAACCAAAACCAAACCACTGGGAACCACCAGGCCAGGGCCCTGACCCCAACCCCCACCCCAACCCGGGAGTCCATGCACCTTCATCTTCCGGAGCCGGGACTTGTTGTCATGGCACCAGGCCAGGCACGTGGCAGTCTCACGTCGCTCCAGGGACTCCTCCACCTCTTTGGCTGTCAGGAACATCTCGATATTCACAAGGTCCTTAGAGGAAGGAAGCGGCTGCTAGTCAGAAGGTGCTGGCTCAAGCGCCCCACGCACCCTCCCACGCCCCAGCCTCCATGAGGCCAGGCCAGCACTGGCCACCACTCAAGATACATTTCCAGTCTATACTGTGGGTCTGCACCGTGGACTGCTCAGGGCCACTCTGAGATCCTAGGAACAGAACAGCTGCCAAGGACCAAAAGCTCAGACGCTCAGGTGGACTGTAGCCACAGCCCGGCACGGGGAGGAGCCTGCCCCATCTGTCCCATGGAGAGGAGCTGAGGGACACACACACTCGCGGGGCCAGACCACATGCCAGACAGCCACGCCTCCCGTCCCCACAGCCCACAGCACACCTACAGCCCCTCAGGGCAGCTCCTCATGTCAAAACCAACAGCAAGTGAATAATACATGCCAAGTAATACATAAACACATTATCGCTAGTATCACAGTAGTTACAACCAATGATTTACATGAAAGCAAAAAACCCCAAGTAACCCAGGCTCCGAGAGTGGCCAGGCACAGGGGGCAGGTGCTCAGTGCCCATAGTGGAACCCGTGGCAGCAGGGTAACTGGCCTGGGACTTCGCCCCGCCCCAGGCACCAGGAGAATGAGGGCAAGCACTCAGGTTGTCCTCAGCCACAGTGACCCCGACTCCCCCAGAGGGACCAAGGACAGCACCTCCACCCCTACACCGCCCAAGACCCGACGGCTCAGGGTGAGGCCACAGATTGCCACTTGTCCCACAGCCCCACGTCCAGACCACAGGCCACACAGATTTGTTGTTTCTAGCTTCTTTTCTTTGATAATTTCTTTTTTCTGAAACCCCTTCATAGCAGGCGAACGTTGGGTCTCCCACAAAGTCTTGCGTTCTCCTCTATTTTCTACCTTTGTTTCCCAACTTAATGTTTTTTTTTTAAGACAGGTTTCGCTCCCTCACCCAGACTGGATGGAGAGCAGTAGTGAGATCAGGGCTCACTGCAGCCTCCACCTCCCGGGCTCAAGTGATCCTCCCACCTCGGCCTCCTGTCTAGCTGGGATCCCAGGCACCTGCCACCACACCCAGCTAATTCGAAAAATGTTTTGTAGAGAAGGGGTCTCACTTTGTTTCCCAGGCTGGTCTCAAACTCCTGGGCTCAAGTGATCCGCTCACCTCAGCCTTTCAGAATGCTGGGATAACAGGTTGAGAGCCCTGCATCCAGCCTGTCATGCCAATTTCTAAGGCAGTACAGGTGGGCGCACAGCCCCAGCCACGCTGAGGACTCTTTGGCCCCTCCTGGCCGGCCTGGCACTCTCCACAGTGCATTCCCTCAGCAGCAGGGTGCACGGCCCCCGTCATGCAGAGGACTCTGTTCAGCTCTCCTGGGCTGGCCTGGTGCTGGCCTCAGTGCCCCTCCCTTGGCAGCAGGGCTTCCTGTCCCGTCTTGTCTGAGACCGTGCTCCAATCGGAACATGAGTGCTTCATCTCCAATGTGTGTTCCGTCTCTAATGCTAGTGCACAGGCGTGAAGCCAGGGGTCCCACATGGGAATTCCGTGGCACTCTCTCTACAGTAAGCCCAGGTCTGACCAGGACAGCTGGGGCTTTACATTTCACAGCCTGGCAGACCCCCACTGTTGGTGACATGGTTCCCTGTGGTCAAAAGCGAATCCTCAGCTCAATGCCCTTGGGCACACCTCAGCAGGAAGAACCCCAGTCCTCGTGGGCTCTACGCACGCCCCACCTTCTCCCACACAGCAGCTGCAGGTCCTTTTTGGGACAGACATGCTCAGGACCCCCCAACACCACGAGTCTAGCCTGTCTCATCCTGCTGAGGCTACTCTCACTGTTAGACTCATCAGCCCTCCCACCCCAACCCTGATCTGTGCGCCTCTGTGGGAGGTGTGACATATGTGCGCCTCTGTGGGAGGTGTGACATGTGCCCACCAGGTGACCCCCTTCCTTCCCCTCACGCTGCTCTCCCCCAGCACAGCGCACGCTCCCTAGGCTAAGGGGCACCCACAGCTCCTGCTTCAGCAGCCACCACCAGGTGTGCCTGGCCATACCCGCAGGTCCCAAGGACAGTGTGCAGCTGTTCAAGAGAGGCCGGCTGGGTCATCTGTGAATGCATAGGTGGTGGCCCCAGACAGGACATCGGAGGACCCCCAGGACATGAAGACTCACTTGCTTACCCTGCCCGTTGGGCAGCCACTCGCCACTCCCCTCCTGGTAAGCAGGATGGATGCTGCACGAGCATGAGCAGGGAGACCGTGAGCAGTGGGGAGAAGGCACAGGTGGGAGGGCGCTGCTCCACTAGGGCGGCATCTCAACGAGGCACGGGGCAAATGCCGAGGACGGGAGATGGTGAGCAGGGAGGGCTAGGTAGGCCTGCAAGTGAGTCTGGAGTGTGGGTGTGGGGTGAGTCTGGGGTGTGGGTGTGGGTGTGGCGTGTGTCTGGGGTGAGTCCGGGGTGTGGGTCTCAGGTGAGTCCGGGCTGTGGGTCTGGGGTGAGTCCGGGCTGTGGGTCTGGGGTGAGTCCGGAGTGTGGGTCTCGGGTGAGTCCGGAGTGTGGGTCTGGAGTGAGTCCGGAGTGTGGGTCTGGGGTGAGTTCGGAGTGTGGGTCTGGGGTGAGTCCGGGGTGTGGGTCTGAAGTGTGGCGCTGTGGTGAGTCCAGGGTGTGGGTCTGGGGTGTGGGTCCGGGGTGTGGGTCCGGGGTGTGAGTCCGGGGTGTGGGTCCGGGGTGTGAGTCCGGAGTGTGGGTCCGGGGTGTGGGTCCGGAGTGTGGGTCCGGGGTGTGGGTCCGGAGTGTGGGTCCGGGGTGTGGGTCCGGAGTGTGGGTCCGGGGTGTGGGTCCGGGGTGTGGGTCCGGGGTGTGGGTCCGGGGGGTGGGTCCGGGGTGTGGGTCCGGGGTGTGGGTCCGGGGTGTGGGTCCGGGGTGTGGGTCCGGAGTGTGGCGCTGGGGTGGGTCCGGGGTGAGTCCGGAGTGTGGCACTGGGGTGGGTCCGGGGTGAGTCCGGAGTGTGGCGCTGGGGTGGGTCCGGGGTGAGTCCGGAGTGTGGCGCTGGGGTGGGTCCGGGGTGAGGCGCTGGGGGGGGTCCGGGGTGAGTCCGGAGTGTGGGTCCGGGGTGAGTCCGGAGTGTGGGTCCGGGGTGAGTCCGGAGTGTGGGTCTGGGGTGAGTCCGGAGTGTGGGTCTGGGGTGAGTCTGGAGTGAGTCCGGAGTGTGGGTCTGGGGTGAGTCCGGAGTGTGGGTCTGGGGTGAGTCCGGAGTGTGGCACTGGGGTGAGTCTGGAGTGAGTCCGGAGTGTAGGTCTGGGTTGAGTCCGGAGTGTGGGTCTGGGGTGAGTCCGGAGTGTGGGTCTGGGGTGAGTCCGGAGTGTGGGTCTGGGGTGAGTCTGGAGTGTGGCACTGGGGTGAGTCTGGAGTGTGGCACTGGGGTGAGTCTGGAGTGAGTCCGGAGTGTGGGTCTGGGGTGAGTCCGGAGTGTGGGTCTGGGGTGAGTCCGGAGTGTGGCACTGGGGTGAGTCTGGAGTGAGTCCGGAGTGTGGGTCCGGGGTGAGTCCGGAGTGTGGGTCTGGGGTGAGTCCGGAGTGTGGGTCTGGGGTGAGTCTGGAGTGTGGGTCTGGGGTGAGTCTGGAGTGAGTCCGGAGTGTGGGTCCGGGGTGAGTCCGGAGTGTGGGTCTGGGGTGAGTCCGGAGTGTGGGTCTGGGGTGAGTCTGGAGTGTGGGTCTGGGGTGAGTCTGGAGTGTGGGTCTGGGATGCGTCTGGAGTGTGGCACTGGGGTGAGTCTGGCGTGAGTCCGGAGTGTAGGTCCGGGGTGAGTCCGGAGTGTGAGTCTGGGGTGAGTCCGGAGTGTGGGTCCGGGGTGAGTCCGGAGTGTGGGTCTGGGATGCGTCCGGAGTGTGGGTCTGGGGTGAGTCCGGAGTGTGGGTCTGGGGTGAGTCTGGAGTGTTGGTCTGGGATGCGTCCGGAGTGTGGGTCTGGGGTGAGTCCGGAGTGTGGGTCTGGGGTGAGTCTGGAGTGTGGCGCTGGGGTGCGTCTGGCATGAGTCTGGAGTGTGGGGCTGGGGTGCGTCTGGAGTGCCGGTCTGGGGTGAGTCTAGAGTGTGTGGCTAGGGTGGGTCTGGGGTGAGTCTGTAGTGTCCAGCTAGGGTGGGTCTGCGGCAAGTCTGGAGTGCCGGGTCAGGGGAGCTGGGTGGGAGCAGGAGGGATTGTGAGTGTAGCCCCTCTGTGAGTGTAGGCCTTGGACTGCACAATGTGAGGCAGCCTCCGGGCCTGAGAAGGGAGCCTTGTGCTAGGTTTAACATGACCAGGGCTGAGGCCTATGTTGCCCCAAGTAGGAGCCATGCTCCTGTGTGTGGGATTTAAGCCGTGGAAAGCAAGAAGACCCCTGGTTAGAAAAAAGCGGCAAGAAGGCTGGCTGAGGAGCCGTTTCAGGGAGCAGCATGGGAGGGAGGCCTGTAACGCTGGGCGGACAGCAAGTTGTGGGGAGGCTGGGCCCGGGGCAGGGCCATGGGGCTCGGGCTTCTCACACAAGTTCTGCCTAATTCTCAAGAGCTGCTGTCTTAATCAACAGAGAACATGGACGCCACCCCAACCCAAGTCAGGTGAGGCCGTGCTCTCACAGTGGGATCCGGATGGGGCAAAGGGTCATGGGCTCGAGGGCTGGTCTGGGAGGCTCCCACTGCTATGGGACCCCACAGTAGTGGATGACTGCCCAGTGGCAGAGGGGCACCCCAGCTAACCCTGCTGAAAGGTGCAGATGAGTCTGTGAAGGCAGCTAAGGGCAGGGGCAGCACCTCCTGGCATCTGCTCAGCTGTACCAGTGGAGGGCAAGGGTGCCACACGTTTCTACGGCTGACCAGGATGCCACAGAACACACGGAAAACGCACCCTGACTGAGATAAAGGCAAAGTTCTCACAAGGCAGCGATGGGGACCCACCAGCACAAAAGCAGGGGTGCAGGTCTCAGGCGCGAAAATCCTCTGCACGCTTTCCTAAGCAGGATGCGTGGATATGGCCACAGGGAAATGAGAAGAACCTGGAGAGCCACTGAGACAGCCTGACTTCCTTCAGAAGGTGAAGTCCGAGGCGCATTCCACAAAGGGTCAGTGCCTCTCAGCTGGGGCAGAGGCGCTCACCACAGCACAGACACACACGCTGGGGGATGCATGCGCGCGCGCACACACACATGGTGGCGGGAGGGGCACACACAGGCATGCTGGGGGTCATGCTGCAGGGCGGCAGGCCATTGGCCCAGGCCTGTTGGGGCACTGTGCCCGCACCCGGCAGGCGCCCACCTCGATGCCGCTCTGGCGTGCCAGCTTGACAGCCGTGTTGTAGTAGCCGCAGCGCAGCAGGTGCTCCACCATCATGCGGTCCATGCGCTTCCTCTTCCACACGCTGGCCGCCGCGGGCTGGTCGCTGCTGTGCTCTTTGAGGTGCTCAATCCTGCGCTTACACAGCTTGGCGCTCTCGTCCTCGGCCTGGATGGACTCCACCGCCTGAGCCACACACGACAGAGCCCTGCTCAGGACAGGGACGCCCCACTGCCCTGCGCCAAGGGAGGCCAGGCTGCCCCAGTCTACGACACTCACGAGGAGTAAAGTGGAGATAGCGGGACAGAAGTACAAGGACCATGCTCTACTGAGGTCCGCTAGGCAGGTGTGCCTGGCCCAGGAGAGGACAGAGGCCCATGAAAACCCACCACCCTGGACCTGCACTTTCTCTGTTATTTCTGGCTTTATGTTAATATATCCTGAAGCTATGTTGCCGCTTCCTCTGTGTGGGATTCTCACCTGGTAGCGCTCATCAGTTCTGAACCCTTGGTCAGTCCCCACCCACTGGCGGGCTCTGGGGAAACATCCAGTTTCTGCTCTATTCTGTCCTTTCTTCTCGCGGGCACTTTCAGGTTTCAGTCTCTTCTCCATTCTAGGTCATAACTCCAGACCCACCCTTCAGTTCACTGATTCTGGTGTTAACTGTTAAACTATGACAGGCAAACGTTGAGTTTTTCATTTTGGTTACATTTCCCATTTCTTTAAGTTTTAATTCCTTTTAAACTCGAAATCACTTTTTTTTTTGGAGACAGTTTCCAGGCAGGCTGGACTGCAGTGGTGAGTTAGCTCACTGAAAACTCTCGCTCCCAGGTTCAACTGATTTTCCCACCTCAGCCTCTCAAGTGCCTGGGACCAGAGGTACACACCATGCCTAGCTAATATTTTTGTAATTTTACTAGAGACAGGGTTTCGCCATGTTGGCCAGGCTGGTCCAGAGCTCCTAACCTCAGGTGACCCGTCTGCCTTGGTCTCCAAAAGTGCTGGGATTACAGGTGTAAGCCACTGTGCCCAGCCAATCACTTTTTTTTAAAAAACAGTGTTTCTTTCCATGCCCAGGCTGGAATGTAGTGACACAATCTCCACTCACTACAACCTTGAACTCCTTGGCTCATGCGATTCTCCTGCCTCAGCCTCCCAAGTAGCTGAGACTACAGGTGTGTGCCACCAGACCTGGCTAATATTTTTTGTAGAGACAGGGTTTCGCCATGGTGCCAAGGCTGGTCTCAAACTCCTAGGCTCAAGTAATTCTGCTGCCTCAGCTTTCCACAGTACTTCACAGGTGTGACCCACCGGCCTGTTTGAATTCTTTAAGCACAGTAAAGTGTGGCACCTGGCAGCTCCCACGCCTGCAGTCTATGCAGCTCTCTGAGTAAGGTGTGGCACCTGGCAGCCCCAGCACCTGTAGTCTGTGCAGCTCTCTGAGTAAAGTGTGGCACCTGGCAGCCCCAGCACCTGCAGTCGGTGCAGCTCTCTGAGTAAAGTGTGGCACCTGGCAGCTCCCGCACCTGCAGTCGGTGCAGCTCTCTGAGTAGTGTGGCACCTGGCAGCCCCAGCACCTGCAGTCGGTGCAGCTCTCTGAGTAAAGTGTGGCACCTGGCAGCTCCCGCACCTGTAGTCTGTGCAGCTCTCTGAGTAAAGTGTGGCACCTGGCAGCCCCAGCACCTGCAGTCGGTGCAGCTCTCTGAGTAAAGTGTGGCACCTGGCAGCCCCAGCACCTGCAGTCGGTGCAGCTCTCTGAGTAAAGTGTGGCACCTGGCAGCTCCCGCACCTGCAGTCGGTGCAGCTCTCTGAGTAAAGTGTGGCACCTGGCAGCCCCAGCACCTGCAGTCGGTGCAGCTCTCTGAGTAAAGTGTGGCACCTGGCAGCTCCCGCACCTGCAGTCGGTGCAGCTCTCTGAGTAAAGTGTGGCACCTGGCAGCTCCAGCACCTGCAGTCGGTGCAGCTCTCTGAGTAAAGTGTGGCACCTGGCAGCTCCAGCACCTGCAGTCGGTGCAGCTCTCTGAGTAGTGTGGCACCTGGCAGCCCCAGCACCTGCAGTCGGTGCAGCTCTCTGAGTAAAGTGTGGCACCTGGCAGCTCCTGCACCTGCAGTCGGTGCAGCTCTCTGAGTAAAGTGTGGCACCTGGCAGCTCCCGCACCTGCAGTCGGTGCAGCTCTCTGAGTAAAGTGTGGCACCTGGCAGCTCCAGCACCTGCAGTCGGTGCAGCTCTCTGAGTAAGGTGTGGCACCTGGCAGCTCCAGCACCTGCAGTCGGTGCAGCTCTCTGAGTAAGGTGTGGCACCTGGCAGCTCCAGCACCTGCAGTCGGTGCAGCTCTCTGAGTAGTGTGGCACCTGGCAGTCCCTGCACCTGTAGTCTGTGCAGTTCTCTGAGTAAAGTGTGGCACCTGGCAGCTCCTGCACCTGCAGTCGGTGCAGCTCTCTGAGTAGTGTGGCACCTGGCAGCCCCAGCACCTGCAGTCGGTGCAGCTCTCTGAGTAAGGTGTGGCACCTGGCAGTCCCTGCACCTGTAGTCTGTGCAACACTCTGTCATCTGCTGTCCCCTGGGTCTCTAATTCATCATGGTGTCTTGAGATAGGGTCTCAGTGTCACCCAGGCTACCTCTGTGCTGGATGTTGTACTTGAAAACTTATTTCTAAGAATCATCTTATGCCCATATTGAAGGTATCCTCCCCATAAATAATCTGAATTTACTCTGCCAGAGCTGGAAGGCACCACCAGCCAGCACTTCACCAGAGGGAAGGCTAAGGGTCTCCCATCACCCAGGTACTCTGAACCTGGGCTGCAACACTCTGTCAATGCCAGTCACTTCTGGCGCACCCCACCCTGAGCGGTAGCACCGTGGGCTCCCAGTTTCTCTCCACTGGGCCCCACTTTCCATGGCCTGGGTCATCAGTCCTTACCTCCGTGTGCCTGGCCAACACTCTGAGTGCAATAGCAGTCTCTTGTTGTTTTCATCTCTGACCCCCTGCCCTCCAGTTCTGGCCTAGTGATTGCTTTCTGTTCCACAATCTATTCGGTATTTTCACTGCGATGTGTTAAGATATCTTATCCCAATTTCTGGGTGTCTTCAGCGAGCCAGATTTGTCCCAATGCCCTTGTCCATCCATCCTAGTGACAAGGAATTCCACAGGCTCCTTTGAGGAGAAATTCTATCTAAAAATAATCAATTGGGCTGGGTGCAGTGGCTCACGCCTATAATCTCAGCACTTTGCGAGGCCCAGGAGGGCAGATCACTTGAGGTCAGGAGTTTGAGACCAGGCTGGCCAACATGGTGAAACCCCGTCTCTACTAAAAATACAAAAATTAGCTGGGCATGGTGATGCGCACCTGTAATCCCAGCTACTCATGAGACTGAGGCAGAAGGACTGCTTGTACCCGGGAGGCGGACGCTGCAGTCAGTCGAGATCGTGCCACTGAACTCCAGCCTAGGTGACAGAGTGATATGTCTCCAAAAAAAAAAAAAAATCAACTTGCTATACATCCTGGCCTCTCTGTTGCTTGGGCTCTGGACACTCCTGGAGCAAGACAACATGGTCCTACAGAAACAGGAAGCTGGCCTGCTCAGCCGACAGTGGTCCCAGAAGGCAGACAGCAGGGAACGGGGCCCCCAGCTGCACCTCCCACATTCCCACCATGGCGGCTTGCCAGTCTTAGGACACATTTTCAAGACAAAGGTGGTGTCTGTGCCCCCAGTGGAAGAGGGACCACTGGGAGAGACCAACCTTCCTCTTCAGGACGCTGAGCTTCTCTACCACACCGTCCAGCAGGCTGACCACAGAGTCCACGGCGGGGCAGCCACTCAGCGTTTTCTCCAGCTCGGCCACCACCATAGTGACGTGGCTGGTCTCCCGGTCAATGTTCTTCTGAGCGGCGCGAAAGCGTTTGTTCAGTGTCTCGTAGGGCACCTGCAGAGGAAGGAGGACAGTGAGGGGTCCGCTCCACTGGTGTGAGCCCCGCCAGCCCCACACCCAGGGCACACCATGGTACTTTCAGAGGCAGAAGTCTTAGAAGGCTCTGGTCTCCAAGTATCTACTCTAAACCTCGACCAAGACTCAAGAAAGCCCTGGTGAATGGAGAGCCACTCCACGTCCCTGGATGAGAAGCAACCCAATTTTTGACCAAAAAAAATGCTAAGTGTATGTTGACACAATAATCCCAAAGTTCATCTAGAATAATGAACAGTTAAAGAAATTTCCAAATAGGAGAGGAGTGGATGGCCATGACACTGTCAGACAGTGAAACACAGGACTGGCCAGTGATCCGCCGGGCTGCTGCGGCTACAGGCGCCACCACACAGATCAGTCCAGGAAGGGCCAAGGGTGTACGGGGCATGGGTTCTACACAGGTCAGGGTAGGGCACAGCAAGCCTCAAACACGCATGTGAAGCTACGTGCACAACCCACACCTCTCCTGCATGAGGGTGTTCACCTCACCCCAGTCATAAAAATAATCTATTCCTTGTGGAAAATAAGTATATCAAGGAGAATCTTCAAGTCATCACTTGTTTTCCATCCCTCTGGAGAGAAGCACTGCTGACGTTCTTCTCTCCCCATTTCCTGCACTCTACGGTTTGAATGCGGCATGACAGAGTTGTGCCCTAGCACTCCCAGGCCTCCGTGGCCAAGCTCCAGCAGGAAACACTGCCCGTGGTCCCAGCTGCACTTCCAGCCAGCAGCTCTCCGCACAACACGTCACAACGTGGCCATGCTGCCGCCCGGAAGCAGTGGGTCCAACTCTGCCGTGGTACCTGGGCCAGAACAAGCGCTTCACCTGCGCCTCATCTCCAGTCATGTCCAACCATGGAGGACAGACTCTCGGGCACTGCCTGCTCCCCTGGCCCTGGGCAGGCCTCAACCTCGTGTCAGCCACCATGCTTAGCCATGAGGCCACATGAGGAAGGCAGGGGATGCAGCTCAGCACCTGGGCTTCCCAAGAAGGGACAGCCAGGGCAACAGAGACAGGACTGGCCACGGCCAAGGAAGGAGCCACACAGCAGGGCCTTCCCCAGACTCACTTTTCTCCCTGAAAGCAGAACTAGGACGCAGGTGACAAGGCCAGCTCTGCACCCGTCCCCTGGCTGCCACTCCCCACTCAGCCTGCTCCAGCTGCCCTCCACTCAGACGTCCCCCCAGGGCTGATGTGTACACACTGGTGGCAGTGTGTACAAGCTCTCATCCACAGCAGACAGGCCCCATCGACCACACAGGAGGGCTCGCAGACGGCAGCTAGCATTACACAGGCTGCCAAGCAGGACTCGCACGTGCTGGTGAGCAAATGAGTCTTACGATGTTGAGAAAGAGGGCAGGGAAGCTACGAAGCCACAACACGTTTAACCAACTGACAAAGCAACGAGGCAGTGACAACAGGAGGAAGACTGGGAGCATCCGGAACCAAGCTTGCTGGTGTCACGGGCCCCACACTGCCCACACTGCCTGCCTTCAAGATTTCTCCTGCCGAGAGTGGTGGCTCACGCCTGTAATCCCAGCACCGTGGGAGGCTGAAGCAGGCGGATCACCTGAGATCAGGAGTCCAAGACCAGCTTGTCCCACATGGGGAAACCCTGTCTCTACTAAAAATACAAAAATGAGCCAGGCAAGGTGGTGGTGGTGCGCACCTGTGGTCCCATCTACTTGGAAGGCTGAGGCAGAAGAATCGCTTGAACCTGGGAGGCAGAGGTTGCTGCGAGCCAAGATTGCACCACAGCACTCCAGCCTGGGTGACAGTGATAAACGAACAACAAAGGAACAACAAAACAAATTTAAAAAGGATTTCTCCCAAGAATTTGGTGCCGCTTAAGAAAGCTGGGAAGGATTCTTTTCCTCTGCTCCACATCCAGTGGATGAGGACGTCACAGCAGACAGCACTTCAGCTCTCCATAAATACCTCATCAGCGTGCGTGAGCTCAACGAGACCCACCAGATAAGGCCCGAAGACCCCCCGAGGCCCTGGCACGACAGCCAACACCAGCCTGCAGAGGTCTCCCACTCGAGGCCCTCTCTGAGCGCATCCTGCCACGAGGTGGAATTTCTGAAGGACGCAAAGCACGCTTTGTCTTTGCCCTGCCTGTGCCAGGGTCTCACGTGAGCAGGGCAGAAAGCCTCTGCCATTAGACCATGAGGCAAAGGGGCACAACCACCCTGTCTCGTGCGGAGGAACCCACACAACGTTCAGGATGCTAGCACATTCCAAACTGCCACCAGGAAAGGCAACGCCTCTGGATGCCCCTCAGCTGCATTCAAGTTCTACACAGGAACGGGCCTTTCCAACCCCAGGCAGGCCCCACCTCACCGTGGCACTTACGCCACTCGTGCACAGGGCAGAGCTCCAAGGAGCTGGCACACTGCAGACAGGAACCCCGTGTTCCCAGTGCAAGGCAAAGAGGCCCTGCCCAGAATGTGCCACAGTTACGCAGGATGTGAGCGTGAAGGAGGCGGGGGAAGGGCTCACCAGGGCCACGGAGTCTTCACAACTCTTCTGTGTTAAGTCTCATGTTATTTCCAAATAAAACATTTAAAACCAAAACAACGCAATAGGGGCACCCACAGCTCAACACACGTGCGTATCTGCTGGTGCCCTCTGGAAAGCCACGCAGGCCGAGGGTCAGGGACACTCACTGACAGCCACACACTCCTTTCAGAGTCTCGAACGTGCTCCAAGCCAAGTGCAGGTGGCAACTCGGCTGCTTTGAGAGGGCAAGAACGCCGGTCCCGGTCACCAGGGCTGTGCCGCCAACTCTGCCCCAACAGACTTGGTGTTGGCATCCCCAAAGGTGCCCACACACAACCAGCAAACGCTACCCAGCACCCTTTGGTGCTGAGAGATGAGGCTGAGACAGAAGACCGAATGGGGGCATGGAACAATCAGGAAGGCTGGCTCCATGAGGCAGCTCTCCCCCTCCCACAGCAGGGCTCCCAGGCCTCAGGAACCACAGGGAGGATGTGCCCAGGAAGGTGTCGGCTGCGGTCCCATCTGAGCGGGACTGACATTTTTGCTAAGCACAATAAAATTTAATCACTAAAAAAACGGACGCAAATTCCAAGACACATAATAAACAAAAGTTCTGAAGTTTTGTTACCAGGTTCAGATACTAAAATTATAAGGAAGAAACGCTGCAGAATCACACGTTGTTGAGCCGTGCAGGCCCTTGATAGCAACTTTAACCTTAACTGCCCATTGCAGACACTGAGCGAGGCTCCAGCGTGGCCACCGCTCCAGCTTTCCGCAAGACCCCATGCCCTCCCTCGGCCAACGGACTGCTTGAGCCATGGCACAGCAGCACCCAGCAGAGGCGAGTGTGGGCGGTCTGCATGACAATTGAGAAGCCCCAGAGACAGTGGCAGGGCTGGCTCACAGGCTGGGGTGCCCACTGCCAACTTTCACCCACAGAGGAGGCAGGTGGTGCTGTGACGCTCATCTCCAGGCCATCATCAGGCCACCGTCAGTATCCAGACCCTACAGTCTACATGCTGAGGCTGTAGTCGAATTCAACTATGTTTTGATGAAGAAACCACTTCAGGATCTGGCACACCTTGGGGTGCCGTCAATGGAACCACACACCACCAGGGGTGAGGGCCTGCCTTCCTCATGCGGGGCACGGCTGGTACCCCCATGACACCAATGGCTACACTGGGCTACACAGAGCTGTCAGCTGCTGCTGAGACTCCTCAACGGGCACTGCCAGTTTTGGAACATCCATCCTGGGCCTGTGCCTGACCCGGACTCCGAACACCCGTCCCGGGCCTGCGCCTGACCCGGACTCCGAGCACCTGTCCCGGGCCTGCGCCTGACCCGGACTCCGAGCACCTGTCCCGGGCCTGCGCCTGACCCGGACTCCGAGCACCCGTCCCGGGCCTGCGCCTGACCTGGACTTCCTTGGGCAGCGTGGCTCCCACGCTGACCCTGACCTCCAAATGGCCAGCCCCAGCCTTCACTTCCCGTAGACAGACCCAGTCTCCCTGCCAGTGCTGTCAGGGCCCAGCCGCTACTCCTCAGGCCTCCCACACCTCTGTGCAGGCTCCTCCCGCCTCCCTGCCTCTGCTCCTCCTCCGGCACTGGCCCAGGGCTATCCAGTCTGAGTTCAGGGATGAGCGAAGCAGCCCCTCTCCTGCAGGGCAGCTGCTGACCCAGACAGCAGCTCCTCCCCACATCCACTTCCCCCAGAGAAAGCAGGCCAGCCCCGGGAAGCAACACCTCCTCTTCTGAGGGACCCAGCACATGATTCCGGCTCTGAAAGCTCCCACACTGGCCTGGGCTGGCTGGTTAGCAACAGCTCCTTCACAGGCTCCTTAAAGGGCATTTGCTGAACGAGTGAAATTTCAGAAATGCGGAAGACTCTACTCAAGCCAAATTATCACTCAACAATGAGGACAAACTGAAGTTACTTTCAGATATGCAAGGGCTGAAAGCTGAGCACCCATAAACCCTTCTGGGAGGAAAATTACTCAGAAACATCGCTCAGTGATCAAATACAATAAACCCACAGAGAAAGACAATGTCAGACACAAGAAACAGCACTGAAGAGAGGAACCAGCAGAAGACACAGCTCGCCCAAATGAGGACGGGCAAGATAACAGAGCTGAAGGAAGAACTGAAAAGGGGCAAAATGCTACAAGTAGATTCCTGATAGCACAGGCAACAGAGACAAACGGGGGGACCACATCAAACATAAAATCTGCAGAGCAGCAAAGACCAACACAGTAAAAGTGGGGAAAAATAGCTGTAAGCCAGGGATCCACCTCTGGAGCTTCTGTGCAGAACACATTCCTACAACTCCTTGACAAAGGAAACATCCAATTTTACAACGGACCAAGGACTTAGCCATTTCTACTAAGAAGATACACGATGGCCAAGTGGCACATGACACGATGCTCCACACGATCAACCGCCAGGGAGACACAAATGCCAA